GACATTGCTCTCATTTTCACAGCTCTCCGAAAGGTGTGTCCATGGGCCATGAAGTCACGGGGTATTCTTTTCAGGATCATCACCACCCGGGAACCGCTGGGCTGGGGCCCGGCCTCCCGCAGGCCGCACAGGCCGTGGGCCAGCAGGGCTGGCCTCAGGGGAGCTCTGCTGCCTTTGGAGGCTGGAAGCAAAGAGAAGCCACTTGTGGGGCTGGTGGATTTTGAAATGGGCATCACGGCAGAGGCGGATCTAATTTCCACATGCTGCAAAATGTTGTCGGTTCTCAGAACTAGCCAGCCATTGGCCTGTGTCAGGCACAGAGGAAGCTCCCAGCAGCTTCTCTCAAAGAAATCACTTTGTGGGTGGTTCTTCTTTCCCCAAATGCCAGTCGATGCCAAACCACCACACAGTGTTAGCACAGGTAAAGAGCGATGTTTAAAATTCTCCCTTCAAATACCAAAGTAATAACTGCAAAATACCTTAAAAAGTTTCATTAACCTTGATCGTTAAAACATTTCCACATTTCCCTTGAGAGAGATGCCTGTTCATGGAGCTCCATGGAGATTAGAATTTGTGAATGTATCTCTTACTGGTTGATAATTACGAGAATTTTAAATGGAGATGAGTGTCCCACTAGGGCACCACAAGGAGCTAGCAGAACAATTGGATCAATTTTTAGGCCCACATAGCTACACTTGGGAAGAAATGCAATTTGGGAACTTTCTTTAGTTCAGAGGAAAACTCAATGATATGAATTGCAGGGATAACAATTTAGGAAAGAGAAAATCCACCTGATGTTCAAGGGGGAGATACCCAAGGAAACAGAAATTCCCAATACTGGGGCCTAGCTAGGATGAGAATAAACTTGAGGGGACGAATACTATGTCAGCCTCTAGAAGGTTGGTGATTAAGGGAATTCTGCACCAAAGAAACAGAATTTCAAAAAGGCCTCGGAGAATTAACAGCAAGGGGATGAGCCAACCACTGCCTGGTTACAGAGGCTCAGAAAAATATACAGCATTACTCAGGAACCTGAGTTCTTGAAAGTGATGCAGGTTAAGATCTATTTATCAAAAGGAGGTTTTGTCACCGATGCACGGCTAGACATAAAGAAGAAATTAGAGAAAATAGAGAACTAGAGTCGTAAAGAACTGAGTTAATTATTGAGGGAAGCCCAGAAGGTTTCAAAAGAATTCAGCAGAATGACTAGGTTGGAAGAGACCTTCAAGATCATTGAGTCCAACCCATACCCTAACAACACAACTAAACCATGGCACCAAGTGCCATATTCAGTCGTTTTTTAAACACATCCAGGGATGGTGACTCCACCACCTTCCTGGGCAAACCATTCCAGTACTTTATCACTCTTTCAGTGAAAAACTTTTTCCTAATATGTAATCTATACCTCCCTCAGTGCAGCTTGAGACTGTGTCCTCTCGTTCTGTCCACTGCTGCCTGCAGAAAGAGATCAACCCCCACCTGCCTACAGCCACCTTTCAGGAGGTTGTAGGGGATGATAAGGTCACCCCTGAGTCTCCTTTTCTCCAGGCTAAACAACCCCAGCTCCCACAGCCGCTCCTCACAGGGCCGGGAAGGATTGAAGGAGAAGGGAAGATGGAGCTCTGTTTTTCAGTTCCTGCTTTTGGCATTCTCCTGTTGGAAGAACACTTTGGTTGTAGCAGAAAGGGTGCGGTAGATAAGCAATAACCCTACTGTCCTTGGATGTCCTGCTTCCCCCTGGAGACAGGAGGTGGCAGGGCAGGAATGCCTGCAGGATTACATGTGACAATGTCCCCTTCACCCTCCTGCGGGTGGGCAGCCAGCCTGGCTTCTGGAGGAGCAGCAGATCAGCTCCCCATCACTCTCTGGACTTCAGGGGGGATAATCCCAGCACAGATGAGGAAAGAAAAATTAGTCAGAAAGGAGAAAGACTCCTCACTTTGGGCAATGGAAATGAAACTTATGACTTGGTTTCTAAGAGGCCTATCTGCCAGAACAGCTGTGCCTGTTGCACAACCTGCTGCTGCGGGCAGATAACTGACTGACCACAGCTCAGCAGCACGTGGGACAGGGTGAATCCTCTCCTCTGGAGCTAGATACAGTACTCAGTCAATAAAAGCATTGCTGTTTTCTCATTTTCTGCCTGTCTGCAGCAGCCAGACCTGCAAGCAGCTGCAGCCAGCCAGGCACAACTGGTGACTGCAGGACAAGACAGTGGCTGCAGAACCTTGTAATGATGCACAGGAGTGGTTACCAGTCAATTATAGCAAGGTAGAGGCAAACACTGAGGCCACTCATGATGTGATAAGAAGTGTCCTTGGCCATAGTGTTTTAATAAATACTTTGTGAGCAACTGTTAAAACCTTCAGAGAAATTCCTCCCATAATTGGAAAAGACTTCTGCAGTTTATACGTTCTTTGTTTTAATACCTTTGCAAGATATCCATAATATCCATTTTTCCTTGATTCTCTTTCCTCCCCCAATGCTGTGTAGATCAGTAACCACAAGAAACCAGCTCCATAAACTTCTGCTGAAGATGCAGGCTCAGGTTTTTAAAAAAATAGGAGCAGTTTATCCTCCCAGCCCCCTCTGAACTCTGAGTCCTCAGCTTTTGTATCTGACTCTGAGTACAGCCTGCAGAGAAATGTCTTTCCTGACTTTTTACTGCTGTGGATGACCTGCGTCAGCTGAACCCACCTTGCTTATTTTGCACCTGAATGGCTTAACAACCTCATCAGGATTTTTCAGAAAAAAAAAAAAAAAGTGGATTGAATAGCAGTCTAATAGACACTCCAGGTTGTGGACTGCATTCTCCTAGTCTGGAAGAGGTCTATTGCACAAAAATATCATGCTTGCATTTTTAGCACTTAGAAGCTGTCTCTCAGGAATAGCCAGAGATTTTAGCCAAGGAGAGTTTATAGGTTCACATATACCAGAGACTCATCACTGTGTGATTTCTTGTCATAAAAACTCTATTCCCTGGCAGAATTTGTTCATCTTTGTCCTCCACCAGCCAGGCAACCTTCTCAGCTTCACCCATCACCAGATGGGTCCAGATTGACCAGAAAGGTCTTGGTATCAGTCAACAAAGTTTTCCTGTCTACTCAAACATTTCTGTTGTACATACCCATGTATCTTTCTGGGGAAGAATGGGTTTAGTAGAAAATAAAAAAGGAAAAAAAAAAAAAGAAAAAATAAAAACCCAAAACCATAGTTCAAAATCATTAAGTTTGTGAGCTTATCCTTCATATTTTGTATTTTAAGTCAGCCCAAATTTAGAATGTTTGTGTAGCAGGTAGCACATTCTGTTTAGCTTCTGATTAAGTTCCAGCTTGAGTAATTGAATTCTGTTGCTCAAAATTCTTCCTGCAGTTTCAATTAGATGCAATCATTAAATTTTCACTTCCTTTTCTGAACTGTTTGGTAATGTCAGTGTGCATTGTTCAAACTGTTGCCCTCCATCACCACAGAGATGCTTGCTGTGTCCTGGCAGATGATGCAATGTGATCCTTGCACATGGCTCACATATCACTTTGCTGAATCTATGAAATGTTTTAAGATGGTTGCATTGCATTTTTGGCAAAAATTCCATGTAAATCATTATTATCATCAGGGTGGTACCCTGTAGCAGTCAAAGTCAATATGTGCTCAAAAAAAAAAAAAAGTTAAAGAAGCTGAAAATTGAGTTTAGAATTCAGTCTATGCAAAAATCCCTCTGGCCCACATTACTGAAAATCTTGGCATTTTCTTCGGTTTGGGAGATAAAACTGTATTTCATGCTCTCCCAGAGAAAAATTATTCTTGGGTTAAGAGGGATGATCTTAACCCAAGATTCCTTGCTTTGTAGGTAATGCCAGATCCTCATTATATATCTTGAGGTTTTGGGGATTTTTTTTTGTTGGGTTTTTGTTTGTTTGTTTGTTTGGTTCATTGGTTGGTTGGTTAATAGTTTTTTTTAGGTTTTTTTTGTTAGTTGGTTTGGTATGGGTTGGGGTTTTCTTGGTGTTGAAGGACAGGCAAAGTTTATGGTGGTGAAGATTTAGTTCCCACTACAGCAGTGGGACTGATGGAGCTCTTCCTGAAGGAAAACAGGTCCTTAAATTCAGGTATTAGTAACTGTGGGTCCTCTTGTAGTTAAGTAGAAATAGAAGATAATCAATGAGAACTGGAAATGATGCTGTAAATTAATTTTAAGGTGTTACTTTACTGGACTTGTAACACAAGATTTGTTCCTTTTTTCCCCAGGGTAATAATTTTCTCCTGCCCAGTCACCAAAGCCTTGTGACTAATTGACTGGCACTCATTTTCAAACTGGTGTAGCAAATTTTATCTTTCAATCTGCTTAATCTCTTTCCAAAGTTGCTTGAGATGATCAGAAGTAAATTTACCAAATTTGCAACTTATTTGTAGATTTCTTCAGTGAAGATCTTTGGTTTGTAGATCACTTACAGTGGGCTTCTATGATTTCAGTGATGTGACAGTGGGTTGCAAGATTTGTTGTGTTTGATGACTTACAGGGTTCTCTGCTTGTGGGTATTCCAGGCCAAAACTGTATTTTATCCATCCAGTTCAGCCATACTGCACATTGTAATCCTGTTTAAAGATGGTTTAATAAGGGCTAATATACAATCAAGAAATGTCATCAATAATAACTGGGCTTTGAATATATCATCTTTAAATGGGGATTTACCTGTCCATTCAGATGACTGCTGTATTTTTCCTGTTTGCTCAGCTTTCACTAGAGCACTGGAGCTGTGTTGATTGTTTCCATAACAAACTCCAGCGGCATCATCAGTCCCAGCTGTGAACTTGACCTGTAATAATTAGGTAAGGATCTCTCTGAATTCTTTCTGGAAACTGCCACTGTCCTTTCTGATAGACTCAGGTTTGGAAAGGCGCTGAAGTGGGTTTGTCTGCCTCCTGCAGCAGCACCCTGAGAGGGAATCCTTTACCAAGAGGCAGGAAAATCTCTTGCACTGCGGAACAAGTGCTTTCCAGATGAAAGCAGATGACAGCTCTTCACTGAGCTTGCAGCTGTACAAACACACTTCTCCACCACCTCTTGGGGACAGAGGGGTTTGTCCAAAATGCTGCAATGGGCTGGTGGCAAAGAAAGAACCAGACCAGCTCAGCCCTTTCTTCTGCCCCAGCCATTCACAGGCACACCTGCAGCTCTTAAACTTAGATTTTCCCTTTGAGTTTATTTCTGAGCCAAGGTATGAAT